ATGTATAGTAGTTAGAAAACCTTCCCGCTTATTTTTAACCTCATTTCTCCCATGTTTTACCCACTGTGGTTCAGGCTCTCAGCCTCTGGGCTGAGACACTCTTTATTTCACTTAGAATAATGAAGGCCATTCAGTGTCACCTTGGTTGTTCAGGTGTAGTCGATGGGATGACAATACTGGCAGAGTGAAATTATTTATATATTACATTTCACAGAATGAGTCAGTGATGAAGTCCAACGTGGGACTCTACATCCTGTTTCCTCTTTCTACCACATGCATGTGGCATTGTGTCAGGGATTGGATTATTTATGGCACGGAAGGATATGGATCTTTATCGGGATTGCAACGAGTGTATAAAGTGAAGAGAAAACCAGCTATCTAAATAAAAAAAAAAAAGGGTCAGTCTTTACTGAGCATAAGCAATGAACACAGGCCACAATATCCATGCTATCATCTAGAAGTTGGAGTGCTAAAATATAAAAATAAAATAAAAATAAAAGTTGGAGTGCTAAGAGGTAATATCGACATCTTTTCCAGGTGGTGCCCTTTCCATCAAGGCACATCGACGACCTTATTTTCTTTCTTTCTTTCTTTTTTTTTTTTAATCTATCTACCTGATTTTCAACACATACCTTATAGCTCATAAGTGTGCTTTAGAATATAAACAGATAAAAATGGTATATGTATTTGGTTTTATTCAAAACCTCTTAATAATGTAAGAAACTAAAATTCTCTTCTCAGCCCTTCTTCGATAAATGAGTTAAAAAATAACATTTGTCTATGATTTAATCTCAGTATACTGTAAAGTCCTGCTTTTACTATCTGCTCTTGGATGTGAACTGTTGTCAAACTTCCATTAAGCTGAAGGTGAAAAATTAATGACCCACTTCAGATATTTCAAAACTAATGCAAGTCTATTAGTCATGCAGCAAAAAATAAAATAAAATAAATCAAAGATTTAAGTATGTTCAATTAGAGTTTAGGGTTGACTCATATTTAACTTTTAAATATATTATTTCATATGCTGGATAGAGCATTATAGAGAAAAAGGAAATGCAGTTATTGATTTTTTTCATTAACAGATAAATACGCCTCAGATTATCTTGTTTGTAGAGATAGTCTTTTTTTTACACACAAAAGGTAATTTTACAGCAAGGCTAACTAGTTAATTGTTGGCGATAGATGGGTTTTGAAAGTTGATGTAATATGTCTGTTGTGGGAGAGTAGTGACCTGGAGAGAAAAGCACAAATGTATAGCAAGCATAGGAGTAATAAAATTAAAATTTATTCCTTAGTTGTACCCTTGTTCCATCTTCAGGGCATTCAGAAAACCTGTAGGACAGTGGCATCGAAACTATTTTTCAAAGAATTGCTGATCCTGTTGTGTTCCTGGCCTTGTGCTAGGCGTTGTGTGTCTTGCAATGATGGAGAAGACTTGGTTTTTGTCTTCAAGGAACTTAGAGTTTAAAGAGGAAAAACACAGTGATTAAAGTGATAAGTATGAAATGTAATGACAATGTTAATTAGAAATGAAAAAACTACCAAGAAAAGTGCAGAAATATCAGATAGAGAACTGAGGGCAACAGAGAAAGCCTCTTACAGAAAGGGACTTCTGAGTTGGGTTTTATTTTTTATTTATTGTATTTAATTTTAATTAATTAAATCATTTATTTATTTTCTGAGTTGGGTTTTAAAGGAAGGGTATGGTTTCGACATGTGTGATGCATGAGAAGAGCCAGTTAAGGGGAAGGGGCGGCTTTAGCAACAACAGGGACGAGGCCCATCACAGAATATGTGGTGTTAGCATGAGACGTATGGAGACGAATGATGGGAAATCGTGTTCAAAATATAAAGTGTGAGATCGTGAAGAGCCTTGAATGGCAAACTAAAGAGTTCCGGATTTGATCTGGGGAGAGGTGAGATCGTGCAGCCTTCTAAGAAGTTTCATTTGTGTTGGTAATGTGTCAGCACTTAACATCCATGAGATCAAAATGACTGATTACACACTTCTCATAAATACTGTTTCATTGTCCCACGTAGACTGGGAATCCTGAAAGTGATGGCCGAGGGAGAAAATACAGGCTGGGGAGTGGGAGTAGGATGGCTCATATCAGGGCTTGCCAGCTGGTGCACTGAGGGACGCCGTCTACCCCGTGATGGCCCCGGGTGCAACCTGGAGCTGCAGAGACTCTGGGCCGGTCACTTGGGGGCTGACAGCAGCTTCCCGGAGGTGTGAAAGTTCCCTTGGGTTTCTATCAGTGGGTGGAATGGCTGCTAGCCCCTGGTGCCCTGGGAGCCCTGCAGGGCCTGGCTCACGGGCCTGCACTGCACAGTCCCACAGGCCCCACTCGGAAGGGCCCACACTTGGTTTAATGCTCTGCTCTTACCATCTTGGAATTCTTCATGCCTTTTGAACAAGAAGTCTCCTGTTGTCGTTTTGCTCTGGGCCCTGCAAATTACGCAGCCGCTATGGTACCATGACCTGAAACTGGCTGGGAAGCGTGAACTACACTGTGGTCACAGTGTACTCCCGTATATCCCTCTGCTCTCACAGGGCCGCTGAATTATGCAACCAGCGCTGTGCTGACATAGCAAAACTGATCCTAAGCGTAAATCTTTATTATTTTTTTCTTCAAAGCCGTGACAGCTATGGCTGCCATAGGCCTAAGCTAAATACCATTTTTTTTTTTTTTTTTTTTTTTTTTAGCTTTGTGGTTTTCCAGATGATAAATTTAAGGAAACACTTCTGTAACACACTTTCTCATTTATAATCTGCCTCCTGGAGCCTGGATACCAGTGTGGTTGAGCTCTGCACCCCCTGCAGTCTTATCAAATTAAATTCTGAGAAAAACCTTTGGCAATCATTTTCCCTAATAAAAGTTCTGAAAAATAAAGCTCTGTGTTCACAGACATGTTGGCTGCTTAAGAGAATCATTCCGTCGTGTATTTCCTCTCTGAGTCTGTACTAAGCACTGTTTTTGTTTATTCTCTCCTTTCTCTTTACTCTGAGTGCTTGTGGACTTTTCTTTCACCTGTATTACCATAGTTTTCTCTCCTTATTTTTATTTAATTTTGTTTTTTTCTCCAAGTTATTGTTGGATGTATTCAAATAATTCTACAAAGGTTAATGTAAAAAACTCTCATCTTAAAAAAAAAAAAAAAAACACAAAAAACCCCTCATCTTCTTCCTTCCTTCCCTATATATTTTTTTCTCTTTCCCCTCTCTCCCAGAGGCAAACACTCAATTTCTTTCAGTATTTTCAGTTGTTCCCAACATTTTATATTTACCTCTCTGTCTCTCAAAAGCATGTTTATGAGTTGAATTCATTGTTTTTTTTTTTTTTTTTTCCGTTTTAATCACTACTACCACTATGGAAGATAAAGATTTAGTTTGCTCTCAAAGTCTCCACAGTCCCTCACCCCTGACGTGTGCCCCTTTCCCATTATTTTCCAAAAGAGTATCATTTTTGTGTGTGTTAAATAGTCATTATTTATATTATAATGACTACGTAAATACTATTCACACTGTACAATGATTACATTTCTTTCTCGAACAACTTTTTGCTCCCTTTGAAGCTAAAGATTGTCTAATTCTTAGATTCTTATTTTTCTATGTATCTAGATGTTCCTCCCATGCTAACTCTCTGATCTCTACTGCCAATATCCTCTCAATCCAGTAGCATAGTAGCTAGTTTTTCCGTTTCTTTTGTCTTCCTGGAGACCTCCTTCCTTGAGCCTCCCGACCCCCTTGCTCTTATTCTTATAAGCTCTGGTGCATGTGTGCCATTCTAGGGTTGTCCTTGGCTGAGGGGGCCTACTTAAGAATGGCAAAGTTGAGTGGATTTGAAGTTGTGTATATGGATGAGTGTTATTCACTGATGGATACTAACATAGGAGGTCTTTGGTGGTTGTTTTCTTGGTGGACTTCCAGATTTTTAGTATTTTTGTATAGTCTTCATTGACCTGGCCATATTTACTCCAATTGAATTTCCTATTGCCCTAGCTGGAAGGAAGGATTCTGGGCACCATAAAACGGTAAAACATTTGAAGAGTCTCTGCAATTATAAGACCATCCTATTTTTTTATTTTATTTTATTTTATTTATTTTATTTTATTTTATTTTATTATTTTATTTTAAAGATTTTATTTATTCATGAGAAGCATGGAGAGGAGAGAGAGAGGCAGAGACACAGGCAGAGGGAGAAGCAGGCTCCCTGCAGGGACCCCAACATGGGGCTTGATCCCAGGACTCTAGGATCACACCCTGGGCCGAAGGCGGTGCTAAACTGCTGAGCCCCCCGGGCTGCCCAAGACCATCCCATTTTAAATATGAGACCCCTTCCCCATCACTGTGTCTGGTGTCTCCTTCCCTGTTCAGCATCCCACTTTTACTCCTCTGAGGCAGTCGGGGAGGAACAGACACTCTTCTGACTGATGGCATGAATGAGGATTTGAGGAGAGATACCTTCATAATCAGAATTTCATCAAATCCTCCTGTTTTCCTCCTCTTTTGCCCATATTTTAATAGGTAGGCGCTGTGGCCGATTCCTAAGCCGTTCTGGGTTGTGTGGTACAAACTGCATTGCTTCTCAGCTTACCCTCTGCTGCTTAGATTGTGGTCGTCTTGGGCCTGTTACATCAGTTGACGCTTACGCATCTGCTTTCCAGCTTTTAGAATCTTACTGCTGTTATTGCCCCTTCTCTTTTATCAGCCCATGTGGGTTTATGCTTTTTTATTCCTTTGTTGTCATTTCAGTGGAGTTCTATGGGAGAATGGAGGTAGGTGCATGTGTCCACTCTGCCATCGTTAACCAGGGGACGTAACAGTGTTTGGACTGAAGTACGTCAAGGCCTCTTGTAGAGTAGATCTAGGGAATAAACAAAGGAACTCAAATAAGCACATGGGTCATATTTTAAATACTTATTAACAAAAAACTTCTCTTCAAGTGTTTTTAATTTCGGTTTGCTAACAGGTCTGTTCTCTTGTCTTTTGAATCCAGATGGAAGCTTTAGGCAAAACCGAGCAAACCTCACGTCTCTGCTAGTGCAGCCCGTCTCGGCATCTCTCGTTGCAAAACTGATCTCTTCACCAAACAGCAGAACCAAAACTGGTGTCTGTAGCCCTCTAGAGCTTCCAAATAATGGTAAAGTATTTCGTGTCTTTCTGTGTATTTTGTAGTTTTTGTAAGGACCATGATCATTTTTAATCCCTTAGATTGACATGTTTAGAATTATTCCTTAAAAAAAAAAAAGAAACTATTTCTTTGTGATGAGGTAAGCACTTATTTCTCATCTGTGGCTCTTTAAGAGAGGTTTTCAGAACATAATTTTGATAAAGACTGAGAGTTCGTCAAACTGAGAGATCAAAAAAAAGGGGGGGGGGAGAAAAAAGCATTTTAAACCACCACAAAGGAAAGCAGCTTTACAAATAAAGCATTTTGTGCATTCATGAAAATCTGCTTAACATAGCTTCCTCGTTTCAGCTTCAGCAGTCTTGTTGGCTGCCAAGATTCAATGGATAGCAGTCAGCTAGCTGGGGTATGAAGTCTTTTAGTAGGAAGCATTAAAGCCTAATTCCTGTGATTGACTAAAAAATCCCCGTGTCTTTACGCATCATCGCCCGAGAGATGCCTCTTGTACTGCGGGGCGGTTTGTCAGGCCTTGTTGGAACACAACGGATAAAACTGAAGTAGTTAAGCTACCTGTGGTGGGGTGCGAGCCACAGGCTGCATCTTATTTCTGCCTCCAGCCTCGGCATTACAGTTCTAAAGCAGAGACTCTCTTTACATATTGTTAAATCCGTATCTAGCGGTTGTAAAATTCAACACCAGGACTGGGGTTTTGTGTCCAGACCTGGAGGCTCAATGACCCATGTTTTATCTCATCTGCTTTTCTCTTGACAACAAAAGCATTCCAAAAAATGTTTTGAAGACACCTAAACACACACACACACACACACACACACACACACACACAACCTGAATCCATATAGGCTTGTCCTCTGTTAGAGACACACATACACTTTGCAAAGTCCTATCGATTGAGTGCCTCCAAAACTGATTATTGATCAGTTTATTGAAGATTTTGAGAAGCTTTTTGTTTTTATCGTCTTTTATTCGGAGCCCTACAAATTGACCGTGGGCTCTATTTGTTAAAATATGTAAGGAACATTTCATAATACTTTGGTTCTGAGGAAAGCACTGGACTTCTAAAAGACCAAATTTAAGACCAGAGTTAATTAATTGATTGATTCCTCCAATTAATATTCAGAGACCCGGCTGTGGTCCAGCCACTGTCCTGCCCTTCCTGAGCCGACAGCGTGCGTGGGAGCTCCATGGCCTCATGCATCACCGCCTTGCTGGAGGTCCCTACCTGATCTAGAGACACCCTTCTAGCTAAGCTTCTAGTGTCTCAAGTTGATCTGAGAATCAAGTTATGTTCTGTGTCTCAGCACTTCTGCATACTGTGAAATATTATATTAGCCATTGTCTTTCTCAGCAAAGAATTATATCAATTTCCTCCACAATATGTTAAATATCTGTATAATAATGGCAAGGCTGGGCAAAATGGCACATTTTGCTGTATCTATCCACAGCTGTATCTTCACAGTAAGTCACAACGTGTATAAAGCTTGGAAGAAAAATTGAAATATACACTGAAAAGTGTTTACAGCTCCACTGTTAAAAACAACAACAACAACAACAACAACAACAAGATACATGCTTTCTAAGGAATTAAGCCACATCAGGTTTCCTTATGGATATAGTAGCTTATTACTGCTTTTAGACAGTAATTAAATTAAGGGACATGTATAAATTGAGAAGATATTTCATGTTATAATGGGTACTCCTTTCATCATCTTTTTAAATACAGGGTATTATATTTAGATTTCCCAAATAGTGATGGAGCAGTCTGAACCGAGTTATTAAATTTAAACTAGTCTTAAATGTAGAATAATGAGCCAGTTTTGGATAATAATACTCATGATGCAGCCAAAATAATTAATTGACTTTTAAGTTTTCTCATAAACACGTAAGTATAGCACTTGCTCATTATGATACGTATAGGGATGGTACATGAAAAGGATGCAGAATGAAGTGCTATATTTTGGGCAATAAGAGCAATGCTTACAGTTTATGGAATAGAAAAGTTAATTACAAACATATTATAATTATATCTTACTGTTGAATTTTCTTAGTCTTGAACCTTAGTGTAGGAAAATCTTCACTGAGAAGTTAGGCAGGAGCACATTAAAAATACGTGTTCAGATCAACTAATCATCTTACCCGTTTAATCCTTTGTATACACCAAATCCAAATTGTCAGATAAGAGTACAGCAGAATTGACCTATCATCTTTGCTTTCTTAGCATCCATTTGCCCCTCCCCCTCTTTGAATCGTTGCCAACATTTCCCAGCAAGATAGCGTGGATAGGTTTGGCCACATCCCAAGCTCTAGAAATAGATCCTCATTAGCTCAAGCCTATTGGTACATTACATCAACCATATTATGATGGTTGGTTCAAGGATGATCTTAGCCAAACAGTGCCAGGACTCACTTTCTGGAATTTATTTGTAGCAATGACTCACTTTAACACTATAGCTGAACAAAAAAGCCTGTAACCTCAGGATCTCTTGGTAACCCTTTTGGGACCTTGAGAGTATAGCCTACCTGAAAATGGAACCAACACCAAGAAAGTACAGATGAATAATGGGAGGAGAAACAGAGAGAGAAAGACAGAGACAGAGAGAGAGAGAGAGAGAGAGAGAGAGAGAAAACCTTCTCCACATCAAGTGAGCCCTAAAGCTTTGTCTGTAGCCAAACCTACTGAACTGGCCATATATGAGTCAACACACCCTACCTTCATATTTGTTAGTCAATCTATGTTGGATTTTTAGTTTCTTGCAACAGAAAGCTACCTAACTGAAACAGGCCATAAAACTTAAACTAAATAAAGGCATTAGATATCAGCATTCATAAAATACGTGAAATACGTTGAGTAAAAGGAACCGGAGAGCAGAGTATTTATATGAAAATTCTTGAGGAGGGATCCCTGGGTGGTGCAGCGGTTTGGCGCCTGCCTTTGGCCCAGGGCGCGATCCTGGAGACCAGGATCGAATCCCACATCGGGCTCCCTGTGCATAGAGCCTGCTTCTCCCTCTGCCTATGTCTCTACGCCTCTCTCTCTCTCTGTGACTATCATAAATAAATAAAAATTAAAAAAAAAAAAAAAGAAAATTCTTGAGGGAACTAAAAATTGTTTGAGGAATAGAAAAAGAAGCAGGAAAAAAAAGGTCTTGCATATATATGCATGCATGCATATATTGATATATAACATATAAATAATTGCATATTGGCTGTATTTTATTTTCCACAGTCTTCTCTTCTTTTTATCTATTTCCAATTTCCAATCTCTATTATGTTAACAATCTTTGTCTCTGAGAATCAACCAAAACACGGAAATTTGAATTTTCAGTTATCAGTCAGAGTTTGTGGTTAAAAACAATGAATATAGTGGGAAACGGAGAGAAGGAAATTTAAGATCCATTAACTTAAGACAAAAAAATTAATCAACTTAAAATAGTGAAGGTAGGGTGTGTTGACACATATATGGCCAGTTCAAACATATGAATGTTTGATGGATCACTTTTGATGAACAGAAAAGTGACTATTTCTGTGTTGCATAAAAATTAATGTCATCACATAAGTAAACTTGGATCATCTCTTCAAATGGATATATATATATTTTATTAATATATATGGGATATATTTAAATTTGTGAACAGGATATATATTTCCTATATATAAAATATATTTCCCTGTTCACAATTTTACATATTCTTTGATGAAAATCACTTTAATTAGAATAGTATAGTGACACTGTCAGTTATGATTTTTACATATTTCAAATGTATTTTGAAGGTTTGTACTTCTAATTTGTTAACAGCTACAACAACTACTTAAAAGTGTTCATTATTACCATCCCAAGCAGAGATTTAAAAAGATGTATTGAGCGTACTGTCCAAAAATTTAGGTTATACTAAAATTTTTTGGCAAGTGGCAAATTTTAGCTTTTCATGAAATAGTCGTTAACAAGAAATATTAGGACAGTTGAATTCAGCATTATTTTCTGTTACGTATGAAACTAACCAACCTGTTCAGAATAGCCTGTGAGAAGATCCCGGGGTACATTATGTTAGTCTGGTGGTTAAAGAGTGTCTTGGTAGATACGTCAGGAAGATAATGGAGTGATATGGAAATGATATGATATGGCCCTTATTGGCCCTGCAAAAGGGGGTTCCTCAGTAGGCCTAAAAAATATATATAAGAGAATCGCAAACTTGTTTTAGGGAAAGGTAGGCCTTAATGACTTCCAGCGCCAAATCTGGAGGAATATATCCAGAACATGCAACCATTTTAATTTGCGTAGACAACTTCTATATGGCACACAGACAAGCAGTGGCCACTTTTTATTCCCAAAGTTTAGTGAGCTAGAATACGTTTACACTCAAGGGTCATGACGGATGTTAGGAGGCACTAAACTGCAACGGTGACACCCCAGTGCTATGGCTCTTCCAGCAGCTGGTTGTGCGGTGAACCGAGGAGTGTGAGCTGGAGGCTGATAAGAGAGGAATCCGTAGAACTAAAGATCAGCCTTCGTGAGCTGCCAGTCTGAAGTCCCCGGACAAAAGGGGAAAAAAGCTTCAGAAATGACTTTGAAGGACGACTCATCAAGGGTCTTAAGCAGAGTGAACATAGGTGGGAAACCTATTGTCCAAAGTCCATAGACAGTACAGTCAGTCCTCTGTGTCCTGGGGAGTGCAGGTGGGGTCTACCAAGGGTGACACAGATCTGGCTTCGCCCAGAGCGTCTCACGTTGCCAGCTTTCTGTCTTGACAGTTGTGATTTTCAGGGATGATTCAACTTAGAATCAATCTAGGGTTGTGTTTGTCTGTTAAAAGACCTATAGACAACCTGGGGTGTACACTCTGAGGTAGAATTGCTTTTAACAAGTGTTTTCCAATCTCCAATGTTCCTCAGCAAATTTTTCATACTTTCTGATATCCTCTTCACATCACTTCTCACGTACCTGTCACTTCTTTCCAATTACAGACGCTTCGGCTAAACTTTGCGGTTTATGTATG